GCCGAACATTAAAGGACAATATCCTAGTTCATGATAGAGGTCACAGGTTAATTATGTCACTCCCGGATATATGCTACAAACAGATGGCATTTGAACATCCGCCGAACATTAAAGGACAATATCCTACTTCATTGATGAGGTCACAGGTTAATCACGGTCATTAAAAAGGTCATAAGGTTAACCCCTAAGGGGGAGGGTCAAATGTCAAAGTCATCAATCAAAAAAAATGACATAACGTGGATCATAATAACTACTATAATGTGTATATATGTGAAGTAAAGAGTCGTTGCTATGGAAATGATGCACTGTTTTGTCTAGTAGCATAGTGTAAACTGGCAGTTAAACACATAGTTAACCCAAAAATGAAAAATTTGCTGTTAATTTACATACCCTCAGCCCATCCAAGTCAAGATGTAGGTGATTTTCAATAGAACAGTAAAGAAGAATTTTAGAGAGTAAAGAATCCATGGTCCTTGGTGATTTATACAATGCAAGTTCAAGGCTACCATAACTTTGAGTGTCAAAACAAATACAGGCAACACAAAATTAATACCCGTGGCTCCTGACGTTATATTGAGGTCTTCTGAAGTAAAACTATCGGTCTGTGCTGTGCACGAAACTGAACATTGTTTACAACATTATTACCTGTAATCCAGAGCCACAGGCAAACAATCCTGAGCACAAGGGTGATGTCCAGTTCACGAGCGAAAGGTTCTTGTGGAACAGTTATTTTTAGTGAACAGCGAATCGTACTAAACTGTCTAAAACAGTTTGCGGCTCAAGTCATCAGAGTTACTCAATCAAAGCTTCCTTTTGGACGTGCATGATAGTCACTGAACTAAGGAAAGAGTTTGGACTTGGACATGTCCATGAAGAACTGATGATCTGCTAAAACAAGCATGCATAAATTGACCACTTGAATGAAGGGGAAAAATTATTTTCTTTTAATGGTTTGTCATAGTTTATGTAAAACTTTGATTAAAAGTAAAGTTTATGATTTAAGGTAATAAACAAATTAAAGTGAAAATGGCATCCTCTGCGGCAGTAATACAGCTCAGGTTGATGCATGTGAAACCGCTTCAGCACTGGCTGTAGACTCAAGTCCCAAGATGGGCATGGTGCCGCGGCACACAGAGATGTTGCTGCAACAGGCGTGCAGCCTCAGAACCCTGGACAGGGCCTTGGCTGCATTGGCAAATCAGCTGCCTCAAGTTGCTGATGCCTTGGCACACAGCTGGCCCCGGGGACTGCGCAAGTGTGCGTTCCCCCAGTGAGCCTGGTTGCACAAATATTGTGTTAGGTCAGGAGGAAGGAGAACGGGTCCTGCTGGTTGTGCTCTACTTGCCCACCCAGGCTTGGTTCTTGGAGCTCAAGCTCCTGTCGACACCTCCTCTCTGGAAAATTAACCTGAGGAAGGAACTTCTTTCTCGGTGGCATGGCACAATATGGCACGGCACAATATAGCACAAATGCCCAGACCTATGGACAGGATGTGAGTGGGCTATCACTCAGCACTGTCTAGTCTAGTAGCATGGTGTAACACTATTGGTGATGGTAATGAACCCAATCACTCAAGCCAGAGCCCCCTCTACGAGGCAGCTGTATGAAGGGGCATCTTTTCGCAGACTGGTGTTCTTCCTGAAGAGAAGACCCACAAAGACGCGCCATCGGGGCAGAAAACACGAGATTCCATATCTATATCCATTGGTGGCCAAACCGAATGCCAGTGACTGCATGCCACTGCAGTAGACATGCAGTATTAAGGTCAACCATTCATATATTAATTGGAAATTTGTGTAAATTGACATCTCTAGTTGTTTTAGAAAGATACCATTTGCAATTAACTTACTAAAGCTTTACAACTTGGAAGCTAGATGGTGCCATGAGGTTATTTTGTTGCTCAATAGTCTACACAATAATGCAAGACGGTTTGGTTTCAAACTTTAAATTTAAATTTAAATTTGTATTTTCTTTCATTCTTCCTTTTTTTTATAGTACATTCATCTTTCAAATCCATCCATGAATCCCTGGCTCTGGAGCGTGAGCGAGTCAGACAGGCTTGGGCCGGACCTGACCTTCGGCAGTCAACCTCAGATCAGTTGGCCACATTGTGCACGACCCTCTCAGAGGTAAATTTTTTTTTCCTCGCTGTTTAAGATGGAGAAAAGTGAAAATTTCATCCGATGTCACCTTTAAATTGTGCTAGTTACTGACTTTACTTTTGTTTTTAGCTTGAGATGCAGTCACGTTTAACCAGAGTTCACTCTGTGTCACTGTCATCCGATTCCTCAGATGAGTCCTACTGTACTGTGTGCCAGGATCAGGTGTGTGCTTCCCCATGTCTGAAGTTTTAAAGTAATGGTTTTTGTTTGTTTATTTCATATAAATCTCTTTTTGTCATTAAGCAGGCCACCCCCTCTCAGGACCGTAAGCTAAATCGTACACCCTCAGTAACAGACTGTACAGCAGAGTATTTTGATGCCAGTGAAGTCATTTGTGAGAATTTGTCTGAAAAGGAAACCTCTGACGAATCTGGATTGAGTGATGTCACCACAAGCAACTCTGAACCAGAGGAAGGCCACAGTACGTCTACAGTTAGCTAAACCATCAGCTTTACATGTTGATGGTTATGTAATGACAAATGAATAATAAAACCTTAAAGGGGTCATATGATGCGATTTCAAGTTTTCTTTCTCTTTGGAGTGTTACAAGCTG